GCTGGTGATCCAACCAGTTGGCAACAACTCTGATTAACTCTGATCCATTTAGGTGCTCCAGTTGAATTTATGTTCTGTCAGTCCCTTTTACATCAGTAATAGTCTATAAAATTTCATATTGGGTGGATTAAATGTTACCTCAATTAAGAAATGACTTTCAAAATTTGTAGATACTGACAGGCATATGCAGAATAGATAAACAAGATTACACTGTATACCACAGGGAAATACATACAAGATCTTGTGGTAGCTCACAGTGAAAAAAAAATGTGACAATGAATATATGTATGTTCATGTATAACTGAAAAATTGTGCTCTACACTGGAATTTGACACACTGTAAAATGACTCTAACTCAATAAAAAAAATGGAAAAAAAAAAAGGAAAGAAAGAAAAAGAAATGACTTTCAGGTCTTCCTTCCCACAATTGTGGTCTAACCATCAGAAAAACAGACCAGTCCAGAGGGAAGGGCATTCTGCAAAATGACCAGCTTCAGTGGTTAGAGCTGTGCATGTTGGAAGATTGCTCTATGTAGCTATAACTTTTAATAAGCTTTGGTCTGGCCTTACCCACCTGTCTCAGTGACGGAGTGGGGTGCCAGTAATACTGTGATAAGTCAAGTATAATGGCTGATGCACAGGACCATCCAAGAAACAGAATTCTTGGGGAAGAGGGCTGCCAGTTCATCCCTTTTCTTCTGTTTTTTTATTGCAGACATTGAAGGATGCCACAACAACAATGGCGGCTGCAGCCATTCTTGCCTGATGTCTGAGACGGGCTATCAGTGTGAATGTCCCCGGGGCCTGGTGCTGTCTGAGGATAACCACACTTGCCAAGGTAGTATATGGACTGGCTCAACTTCAGCTCTGACCCCCTGAATCTCCCTGCCTTTCTCACCCAAGTGTGTCAGGATTCTCATCTTTTAGAAAACCAGCTCTTTCAGCAGTGTGTATTCACCCTGAAATCATTTAAAAATTGTGGTTAAAAATATATGTATATAAAATGTATCATCTAAACCAATTTTAAGTGTGTATTTCAGCAGTGATAAGTATATTCACATTGTTGTGCAACAGATCCCTGGAACTTTTTCATCTTGTAAGACTGAAACTCTATACCCATCAAAACAGCTACTCCTCGTTCCCCCTTCCCCGCCCAGCCCCTGGCAACCACCATTCTACTTTCTGATTCTATGGCGTCAACTGCTTTAGATACTTCATATCAGTGGACTCCTACAGCATTTGTCTTTTTGTGACTTAACATATTTTACTTAACAGATTATCTACAGGGTTCATCCACATGATAGTACATGACAGGATTTCCCTTTCTAAAGCTATTCCACCGTGTGTATTTACCCCATTTTGTTTATCCCTTCATCCATTGATGGCCAGGGTTGCTTCCACCTCTTGGCTATTGTCAGCAATGCTCCTATGAACATAGGTGTGCAAATATCTCTTTGAGATCCTGCTTTCAATTCTTTTGAATCTATACCCAGAAACAGGATTGCTGAATCATATGTCTTCCTTAGCTTTTTATCTTTTTTTTCCCCTCTAATTTCTAGTATTAGTTGTATAACAAATACTTCATTTAGATGCAATTCTTCTCTTTTCTAACAGATAATTGGGTTATGAAAAGTTGAAAGCCCTAAGGACTTCCCCTTACACTTACAATGTGATCATCAACAATCCTCTGAGAACTATTTTCTGGAAAACTAGTTATCTATGTCCAGAAAATTCATTCTTTCATCCAGCAAATATTTAATGAGCACCTATCTCTGATTTCTTTATACTATGCCATACTAATGATATGCCCTCACATGTTGATATTGCCCTCACAGATGGTCTGACAGTACCCAGAAGTACTCCTTTTAGGGTACTGGTAGAGTCTGGAGAAGTGAACGCTAGAAAAGCAATCTTTTTATATTAAATTAAAGTAAAATTTATAGTCAGAGTTTATGTTTACTGAGCAATGCAAGGACAATTTGGAACTCTTCCCCAAGTGCACTAACACTGTTTTTATTACCTCTGTTTTATGAGGCAGTAATTAATGGTAAAGTCAAAGCAGTAGCATTCTGTAATTTAATCCTATATCAAAGCAATCCTTTTCATGTATTGCCAATAAACTGTGTTTGTGCTAAAAGTGCATCCTTTAGGTGTTTCAGTGCATGGAGTTTTGCCAGCCATGCTTTGAAGTAAATGTTTGTTGAATTGAAACCTGAACACAATATTTTTTCTTTCGGGAAACAGTATAGTATTTGAGGAGCATTATTTGACCCCAACCTTGGGAGTTAGGAGTCCAGGTTTTATTCACCAATTTGTTTTCAGTCTCAGAGATTCCCCTGAGGTTAGAGCAAAAAGCTCAAGTTGCGAGAGGGTGAAGTTATTTCTCCTAGAAGCCTCCTTCCCCTTCTCCCAATTTTGCTCTCCTGGCTCTAACAGCAGCCCCTCTTCCCACAGTCCCTGTGATGTGCAAGTCAAACACCATAGAAGTGAGCATCCCCAGAGACCTGGTCGGCGGCCTGGAGCTCTTCCTGACCAACACCTCCTGCAGGGGAGTGTCCAATGGCACCCATGTCAACATCCTCTTCTCCCTCAAGACATGTGGCACAGTGGTTGATGTAGGTTCTTCCTGGAGGACCGTTGGCGAATGACTGAATCCAATTATTTGGGAGGTTGTTGACAGAGGTGTGCAGTGTGGCTTGTGTCATTGGTGAAATATTTCCACGTGAAAGAACAGCTCAAAAAATCCCATACTGTACATTTAACAAATGTATTATTGAGTATCTGCTGTGGTCCCGGCTCTGTGAGGACAGCGAGTTAAGAAAAATTCTGCTATTTCCGCTCTCAAATAGTACCATCTCTCCGTACATGTAGACATTTTCCTGAGTGCAGCAGCATTGGTACCAGTGGGTTGGCTGTGTCTCTGACCAAATATTTAACTCAGAGAAAGCGACTGATATAGATGATGGTTCATTTATGAGGTAGCAAACGAGTTCAAGGAGTTTCTGAGTTCAGGGGGTAGTAAAAAGTTTGTACCTTCATCCAAGAATCTGTGCACAGCCCTGTGTTAGGGAGTCTGCAGGATATGTGAAATAGGATTCCTGACTTTTAAAAGGAACGTAAACAGTAGTATTGAGATGACAACATACGCAAAATATAAATGAGAGTGATACAGTTGACAGGTGGTACAGGAGTTCAGAAAGGGACAAACACTGGAGCAGTCAAGACGACTGGGACCTGAACTGGGGCAGAGTGTGGTTATACAGGCAGAGAGGAAAAGAAAGGGCATTTCACATGGAAAACAAGTGAGCAAGTCTCAGAGATGGGAATTTTTGAGGTTTATGCTGAGTGAATGGGCAATGCAGCCTGACTGGGAAAGGATTCACAGTGGGAAAGGAAACTGGAAATGTAGATGAAGGGAGATCATGTTTCCAAAGATCTGCCTTGTGTGCTCGGGTGAGATGTTTGGGCTTTATCCCATAGTAATGGGATTCAGCAGGCACTGTCAGAATGAAATCAGAATAGGCAAGTTGGATAGAAAAAAAGAGGACCTGGACCCAGGAGATCAGTGCAGAGGCCCTTGCGACCAAATAAATGTTTATTTATTGAATCCAACTTAGAGAAAATCAGAGAGACCTAATTAGACTTGGGGTGAGACATGCGGAAGATAGTCAAGGACAAGGCATCACTTTAGGCATATTGTTTATCCTATCTGTGGATAATCAAATGGAAACGCCCGAAGAGTTTCTAGTACCCAGGAGGCGTACATGCGATAGCTGATGTCTGTGTGTGGATGAGTTCAGCACAAGGTCATGCTGCAGCACGATCACCAGGTCTAGGATTCCAGAAAAAAATGATCTACAGGAGCTGTTCTTTTGTAAAATATCAGAGCTTTGAATTTGCTGATTCTGCATAGCTCCGGTTTTATGACTAATCCTCCAAAGGAATGTGTGGGTTGACCATGAAGTGGTATGTAAAACTCTTAACAGTCAAAACATCTTACTGAAAAGAGGAGAAGCAATTAAAAAAAAAAAAAAAAAAAAGAGCTTCCAGATTCAGCAACCCAATCTCTAATGTGTTTTAATATAAAGAGAAATTTAGAGAATGTTTCTATCAAAAAAAGGGGCGGGGGGGCCTCAATTCTGCAGAAATAAACAGGGACTCTTTTTCCTCTCCTGCTCCTGGCCTGGATCAGGTAGTGAATGACAAGATCGTGGCTAGCAACCTCGTGACAGGTCTACCCAAGCCGACCCCAGGGAGCAGCGGCGACATCATCATCCGAACCAGCAAACTGCTGATCCCAGTGACCTGTGAGTTCCCTCGCCTCTACACCATTTCCGAGGGCTACGTGCCTAATCTTCGCAACACCCCGCTGGAAATCATGAGCCGCAATCACGGCATCTTTCCGTTCACTCTGGAGATCTTCAAGGACAATGAGTTCGAAGAGCCTTACCGGGAGGCTCTGCCCACCCTCAAGCTTCGTGACTCGCTCTACTTCGGCATTGAGCCGCTGGTGCACGTGAATGGCTTGGAAAGCCTAGTGGAGAGCTGCTTTGCCACCCCCACGTCCAAGATCGACGAGATCCTGAAGTACTACCTCATCCGGGATGGGTAAGTAGGCTGCTTGACCCATAGTCCCTAGTTCACAGCCAACGTCTAGGCGCGCATGCGTCCTCAGTCCTTTCCTGAACCCACATCGCACTCACTCTTAAGCGCTCTTGATTGGTTCAGAAACCCTTAATTGACTTTTGGTGGTAAAAACTGGTGAGGGAAAGGGGAGTCAACTCCAAGGGGTCTATCTCGTATGAGTGACTAGATGTCCTTAGCTAAGACGAAAGGACATAGAGAAGCAGATTCGTTATGAAAATATTGAATATTATCATTTCCAATAGTAATGTATTGTAAATGCCCGCAGGAGACATAGGAAGAGAAGTTCAGTGGGCGGTTGGAAATGCATATCAGACCCAGGAACGAGATCGACTGGAGACAAAAGGCGAAGAATCACCCCGTTTATAGTGGAAACTATAGGCTTGATTAACCTGCCCAAAGAGAGGGTGAGAAATGGGTGCCGAGTAGGGGCTGAGAAATGCAAGAGGATGAGGAAGTGGAAGCTGCAAATGTAGACCCATCTTGGAAGAAGTTTGGTGGTGAAGGAGAGTACAGATACTTTAGTAGTTTTAGGAGAGGAAAGACCTAGTGAAATTTGTTTTTGCTGGCTTGTTTTATCCAAAGGAGGTTTCCTGATTTCCTGAGGATGCTTTGCATGTCTCTGTGTATCATTGGATGCCTAGCAGTTACCACACCCACTGCTTACATTCCCAGGAAAATTATACTCACACCCCAAACTCACAGCAGTATCTCATCAGCTTCTTCCTCACTCTCAGCATCACATGGGACATATCTCAGGCAGGGTCAGGACCTGCGGCTTAAGGGAAATGGTCTACTAAGAGTGCCCCAGCTGTGCCCCAGTTTCATGCCCTTTGCTGATTGGCCTAATAGACTCTGCTTTGCTTTTAGCACCCGGGATCTCTCACCACAGGCAGCCTTCACCTGCTGCTATCAAACCTCCTGCACAATGATCTTCAACCCTTGATGCACAGTAGGATGAACTGAGAAGCTTTTTGAAAAGTAGCAATATCCCAGCCTCATTCTCTCTAGTCCACTCTTACTGTCGTAATTCATTATCTTTCACCTGGACAGATAAAATGCTTCTTAACACAGCCCCCTAAATCCCAGCTTTCAAGTCTCAGCTCCACAGAGCCCTGGGTACCTGGTCAAAAGGGGGCGGGGAGGAAAGATATATATAGTCAGATCCCTGCTGAAAGTCTTTTGATGGCTCTTGATTTCCTTTGGTTAGTAAATTTAACTGTTTACCAGCAGGAATACTTCTAGCCTCAGACTCCTGTAGCCTCCTTAGCTTGTTTTCAGGGTCTGGAAAGTGCATCATTCTCAGCTGCTTTGGGTGGCCAAGAGTAGGTCTCATGGGGGCTGTAGCCTTTCGGATTTCTTGCCGTCTTAAAGTGATCCCCACAAAGTTTTAAGATTAAAAGTAGAAACATCAGTTTTGGTTTGTTTTGTTTTTAGTCACATAATTAGTGCTAAGAAGATTAGGGAATGGATTTTTTTTTTTGGTGGGGGAATGGATTTTGTTTTCTTTTTTTTTTTTACAGCTTTATTGGAGTCCTATTTGCATACAGTAAGTATACATATTTAAAGTGTACAGTTTGGTAAGTTCTGACGTATACACTTGTGAAGCCATCACTACAATCAAGATAGTGAATATTTCTCTTACCCCGAGGGTTTTCTCTTGCCCCTCGTATTTACTTTTTTTTAAACATTTTTTTTGAGTTATAATCATTTTACAA